CCCCAAAACCCCAAAACCCCAAAACCCCAAAACCCCACTTAGAGAGCACCAGTTGAGCATCTTCAACTTATAATTGGAATAACTTAACAGTTCTATCTGCAGAGGCTGTAGCCAAGTAGCTCGCGTCAAGTGCGAATGATACATCGTTGATTACATCTTCGTGAGCAGGGAGTTCGAATAAGCAAGTCTCTGTGTTGGAGCTATCGAAGAAACAGAGAGTTTTATCACTAGCGGATACTACGAAAGCTCCATACGGATCAAATGCAATGCTTCTCACGACTGACCCTTGCTGGTGGATCAGTTTCTGTGGTGGCTTCTTAAATTTCTTCAAATTCCAAAGACCAGCGATATTGCTTTTGTCTGAGCTTCCTGCCAAATGGATTGCCTTTTCAGAAAATTCAAGTCGGGTTATTGGAGAATTTATTCCTTCCATTACTGCTGCACAAGATTGTGTTCTAATATCCCAAAGGTTTACAACTCCTGTACTAGATCCGGTGGCGACCATCAGACCATCAGGATGCACTCTCAAGCTTGTTAAGTCCATTCCATCTTTTAACTCTGTTTGGAAAAGCTTTGCCCCAGTTTCAATATTGAAGAATCCCCAGGAGTTACTTCCTGTACCATGAATTACATAAGGATTCAAAGGATGGCTAGATGCAATTATTCCTGCTTGCCCTTGAATAGTTTTCATATGAGTAGATGTCTGGGAGACCAAATCAACCGCCCAGTATTCTGCTGATCCATTAGCTTTTGACAGTAAAACACCACTATCCATAAATTCCACTCCATTAACTGGACTTGAGTTTGAATTATCGCCAAAATTATGGGTAACCTTTCCAGACGTCTTATCAAAAATGATAGTTGAGCCATCGTTTCCTCCTGAACAAAGGATATTTGGATTCTTCTTTGAAATATCCACACTAGCTGCACCAGGAGTTGTAGTGGAATGGAAGGGATAACTGTTCTTCTCAGTTAATGTGCTAAAATCCGTTCCTTTAATATAGCCCTCTGGCTTCTTGTGCTCCTTTCTAGCATTGAATAATTTCTCTGAGAGCTAAAGATAAGAAATTTAAAATTACCGTATTTAGCTTTTCTTGCAGCTCTGGATATATCCCACTATTTTCTGTCTCCACCACAGCTTGTTTTGTTTCCTCCTTAAGCTTTGAGGTGCTTTCCTTTGCCTTCATAGTTGCGTCACCTACTCCTAATCTACCTTTATAATCCTGAAGTTTTTCCTGAGTGAGAGCAAGGGCTTGCCTTGCCTCATCTCTCTCTTGAGTAAGTCTTGAGATTACTCTTCAGGCAGCATCGTGTTGGTATAAAGCATGTGCTAAATTCTTCCTGACGACTTCAAGATGTTTTCTTAGTTCATAGGTCTCAAGAACGACTGCGTCCCATTCGCTTTGCATCTTCGTGATCATTCCAGGGATTCCTGATTCCCCTAGAGCTTTGGGCTTAGTGACTCTCTCAACTTTGAGATCGATCAAATCTTTCTTCTCTAGATCAACTCCTGTAATTGGACACTGGCCTGTGTTGTCGATGTGCTTGTGGATAACCCTCTTCTCAAAGACATGGCCTGTCTTTGTGGAGACAACAGCTTCTTCAAGTGGATTTCCAGATAGAGCTCAAGTGGTCACTGACATTTTCTTCCAAGAATTTGATTTAATAAATATATCAATCCAGACAATTATTCGGGGTTTTGGGGTTTTGGGGTTTTGGGGTTTTGGGGTTTTGGGG